GATCATTTTGTTTTCAAATATTCACCTCACAGTGCTCTTGATTTTTTTTTTTCTTTTTTAAGCTGCAGCAGTAATCAGAGCCCTCTGTTACGTTAGCTGAGTGACTGTGACAAATGAAATGCTTCAGAGCTTTGCAACAGTGGGATTCACAAAGGCTTACTGCTCACATCTGCCAAGTGCGTGAATCTAGTAAAACAGGGCTAAGATGGTCATTTTTTTTAACTTCTAGCTCTTGGTTCTCTTTTAGTGGCTTTCTGGGGATCTCAAATAATGGTTCGATTCACAGCAGTCACATCTGTGTACTCTTGCTTCTGCCAGTGCCTTCTGGCTGCCTGATAGAGGGGGTGCCTTTCGACGACTTGACCGGTGCATCAGCGGGTTGTTTTTGAGGACACGTGATCTGTGATGGCACCTGAAGTAAGAGGAAAAGTTTGCCTTTAGAAAATCACTGCTCTGTCTCTCTCACTTTCTTTTGCTTCAGCTAGACTGCTGTTTCTGAAAGTAAATCCATAAACCGTGTATATCCTAGTTCCCTGTGATTGGATGTGAGATGCCCTGGCAGAGACCTCCCAGGAGCCCCTCAAGGTCTTCCGATCCGCCTGCTGACAGGCATCTTGGTGATTCTGAGATGCGATGCTGTCTGATGATCATGGTCCTAGAATTCGGTGCTTCTCAGATTTTAATGTGCATATGAATTACTTAGGGATCTCGTTAAAATGCAGACTCTCTTTTAGTAGGTCTGGAGTGGCGCCTGAGAGTCTGCATTTCTGACAAGCCCCAGGTGACAGTGATGTCTGCAGAGCCTGCCTTCAGTTGACTGCCCTCTGGGTAGAGCTTAGACAAACTGCCCGGCTGCTGGCTCTGGGCAGATGGGACAGAGTGACCGAGACCAAGGCCTTGGTGCCCTCGCTGTTGCTTGTTGTTTTGGAAGAAGTCTTCCCTGTCTGTTGAGCGTGTGTGTCTGGAAGCAGAGAACTGATCCAGTGGAAGAGACATGGTCAGATAAATTGTCTTAAAAACACTGTAAGAGAAAGAAAGGAGTGAAGTGGCGCTGGCTGCTGCATTCCCGACCGCCACCGTGCAGGAACGGGGCTCTGCTCCTAGGACATCAGGCGACGAGTCATCTGCACCAGCCTGTGTCTCACGGGGTTACACTCAGATCCCGCCATCACCGTGTCTGAGAGCAGCGGTGCCTGCCCTCTGGCTGTCACTGAGACGTTCCCATTGGCCGGGGTCCACTGGGACCCTCATTATGTCCTGGTCCTAGGACCACGGACCACTTACACTCTTATCTGGGAGCTATAGAATTTCTTCTCTTCTTTGATGCGAGGTGGAGACATTGAGGCAATATTTGAGGTGGGACTAGAGAAAACCAAGCATGCTTTTAAGCTAAGGCTGACGGGCCTACAGACAAGGGGCTGTGTTGAAGGTTTAGAGGAAAATTGGTGCAGCTAATGCCTCTGAATGATGTGGTCAGAAGATCGGGGTGATTTAAAAGGGCGGTGGCAGCAGCATGCCTTTCCTGGTGTAGGAGGGGGGGAGAAAAACATGGGCACAGAGAGAAGTGAGTTTGATGGTCCTTTTGAAAGCTACCGGAGTTTAGAGAAGGAAGAGATTGTTACTAAGAGAATTAGCCAGGAGGTGTTTCCCGGAGAAAGGAGAGTTGATGAGACAGAGCAGCATGATAAGATAAAAATGATTTGGCTTTGGGAACTTACCAGTTTCCTTAGAGATCAGTTTAAGAAGACTCTGCTCCAGGAGGTGTGGAGATGAGAGCACAATTTCTGAGGAGTGAATGGAAAGAGAAAATGGACACTTTAACACGTGCACTTCTATTTAAAAAATTTTTTGGCAGTGACTAGTAAGATCTAAACCCCTCAGCTCGGCTCTCAGAGGCCCCAGAGGCTTTGCTCTGCTGCGTCTGTCCGACCTCGTCTCCTGCGCCGTGTCCGAGTTCACGCTGTTGCTCTTGTCTCTGTGGCTGGAACGTTGTGTTTTCCTCTTTTCTCTGCCGCACAGCAGATGGGCTCGCAGATCGTTAGCAAAGGAGAGCGTGTGGGTCTTGAGTGACGCTCGCCTGGGGTGGCATTTGGTGTGGGGACTGGGGAGAGAGCCTGGATAGGGTAAGGGGAGACGTACCATTCAACCAGGAGTTTCTACAGAATAACTGCCTTTTGAAAGTTTGCCAGTGAGCTGCCCTAGGCATTTAAAGGTCTGTAAGCACCGTCTCCCCAGGATGCAGCGTCACCCGGACGCCAGACCTGGACGCGGGCAGCCAGCCTTCGCAGCTCACTGGGGTGTCCCTCTGCTGTTAAGACCGTCCTGTGTTCTCCCTCGCAGTGGTAATTTTCCTCACGCAGCAGTAGAGACTGTTATCTCTGATAGCATGAGTGTGTGGTGATAGGATGTTTACAACTGGATTTTTCGCCGGGACTGCTGCTCTGTTAGGTTTGTACTGTTTAAATCTAGTGTTTAGCCACCCGGCTCTTTGCTCCTAGAGTGGTTGTAATAGTTTGTCTTTTAACTCTTCTGCGTTTTCTTGATGCAGTCACATTTTCTGCAAGGAATGAAGAATAACTTAGTCTCGACCATTCTAGTGCTTGTATCTCGTCCTTCTCTTTTCTTATCTAACTTGTTGACTTTGTCCTTCAACGAAACTGACTAGCAATGGGGAGAATGAACAACTATTTCCTTATTCTAAACTGATTAAGGCGTGAGTGTTAATGGGGCCTCGTAACGTTCCTTCTGTTCTCTCTCACATCCCTTTACGTTCCGCCACACACGCGGAGCCGAGAGCTCTTCCTCACAGAGGACTGACTTGATTTGCTTCGTTTGGAAGTCATCACATGTTTCTTAGGACCTTCCTGGTCAAGTTCCATCTTTATTTCTTCCCACATAACTGATAGCTTCTTACCGGCTTGTTATTATGAGTGTTGCCTGAATTGTGCTTAATAGAGTAATGCGCCGTGAGATAACAGGAAAAATTGAACTTCGTTTGCCTTGACAGCAGACGAACCACGGTGTGGCCGTTTAGCTCTTTTGGTAGATTCTGCGTCAGCTTCCACTCCCCAGATTGTCAATATGCCGGAAACAAACAGCTCCCCTCCCCATCAATTTTTTTTTTCTGTTTTGAGAGCACTAAAAAGCAAGATCACAGAACTTCTCAGAATTGTACATAAAATGAGAACAAACCAGGTATCAGCGAGAAGAGAAATGCTTCCCTCGGATGCAGAGCCCAGGGAGAGAGCTGCTGCGCAGGGCGGTGAGCACGGACACCAGGGCCGTCCCGCAGCCTTGTAGTGGGAGGCAGGCGCCGGATATCGGCGCTGCGGTCCCCTGTCACAACGTGCGCACGTGTCAGAATTGCACTGTACACACCCACGTGTCAGACTGACACGTCCTACACCTTAAGCTCACACAGTGTTAGCTGCGGAATATATTTGACTGAAAAATCAGTCAGTCAATAAAAATGAGAGATTCTGGAGCTGTTTGCAGTGTTTGTGGAGGGGCTCCAGTGCCTGCTTCCGGGCGGTGGTTCTTGGCAGGAGTGGGGGCTCCTGGAAGAGAACCGTGCTTCTGTGTTGGGGGACATTCTCCTTGGGGAGAGCACTCCTGTACCCCAGAAAAGCAGCGTCTGTGAAGCCGGTCTTGCTTCTGATGTTGGCCTCGGGGGGGAGGGGAGCGGAAGAGCCACCCCGTGTCACTGGCCAAGGGCACGTTTACAGCTCACTGCTGCTTTCTGGCAGTCTCATTCTCAAGGATTTTTATTTCTTTTTTTTTTGTCTAGTGTTCTTACTTAAATGTCCTTACAGAATTCGTCTTCAATTCACTGCATCTAGTTATTTAGCTGTCTAGAGAAACAGGCTGGCACCGCTCGCAACACTGTGCTGACCATGTCTTAGGTAATGACCCTACTGTGCTCGTCGTCTCAGCCCACGTTCATTCAAGACGTTCCGTTTTCTGATGTTCTCTTGCGCCCCGTAAACACACTAGACGTTCATTGTGACTTTAGTCACTTCGCTTGCTCTTGGATCTGAAGTCAAGAGCAGAAACTACAGCATTTGGAGCTTTGCTGGGGACTGACTTTCTTGGCAACCTCCAAAAAAAGTTTTAATCTGCTCGCCAGGACGCGTGCCGGTGACAGTGACCGCAGCACCCGTGTTCTTTTCTAGCACACTAGAAAAAACGCAGAGGTGTCGATGGCTCAGTGAACAGAATGTGGAGCCGTGGCGTTCCCTTCCCTCTCACACTTCTCAGAAAATAAAGGTTCAGAAGTCTGTAGGAGATAAGTTCTTTGTAACGTATTAAAAGCTGTGTTACAAGATTAAGCAGCTCTAGATACAGAGCAGAAGGAGGTTTGGCAACTGAGATCTGTATTCAAATTATAATACTTAGTCAAGGAGTGATAAAGTCAATCTAATTTCAGTTCTCGAAGTTTTAGCTGGTTAATGAAATCTGGGTACTGCGTCATTCAGCGCCTTCAAATCAGATTCACCGTTTTGATTTTATAAGATGGAATTCAGAGATAGCAGAAGTCTTCAGAAGTCCTCGGTGACTGACCCATGAGCAGAGGGCATCGATGGTCCACCATGTGTCGATCCCTCGCTCACCTCCGCCCTGACTCTGAGGCTCAGGATCGGGTACTGGTTCTCCTCACGCAAGGCTCAGAGGCGGTCCCACGTTGTGTTCTGTTGTATCTCCTCCCTGAGGCTGGCTACCCTGACCAGCACTGCACAGTTCAGTCTGCGAAGGCGCAGCCTCCAGTTGGCTGGGAACTTTGAGCTACTGGCACGTCTGGCCTTCGTCCTGATGACCTGAGGTCATCTGCGTGAGGTGAACAGCTGTTCGTCTGCACAGAGTCTGTGTGCTTCCACGTCTTCCAGAGGATGAGGCTGTGTGATGTGTGTGCGCAATGTCGTGAGCGAAGGCTGTGTAAAAATGGCGAGATGACAGTGCTGTTTCTTGGCAGTTAATTTCACAGTTGTCCTTTTACCTTTAAGGTGACGACCCTTGTCAACACAAGCAACAAAGGCCCGTCTGGTAAGAAGAAGGGGAGGTCAAAGAAGGCCCACGTGCTGGCCGCGTCTGTGGAGCAGGCCACTCAGAACTTCCTGGAAAAGGGCGAGCAGATCGCCAAGGAGAGTCAGGATCTCAAGGAGGAGCTGGTCGCTGCCGTGGAAGACGTGCGCAAGCAAGGTGGGCCGATGGTGCTGCTCCGCGGGGGGAGGCTGGGGTGGGGGCAGGGGACTCTTCTCCAGGGAAACGAGGCTGCTCAAAGCATTGGCCTTCTTCCTTTTTCCTCTCCGTCTGCACCTGTCGCTTTCCATCTGGGCTGGAGCTGGGTGCAGCAGACAGGGGGAGATGCCGCTGTATCTAGCACAGCCACGAACACTCCTCCTCTGCTGCTGCTTTCTGAGTAGATGAAACCAGACACCTGTGTCAAACTCACGCTTTCGGGAGTTTCGTGTGAGAAGACTTTTTACTAGAGTCCCTGGAAGTCCCACATTTTAAGGATGCAGGGAGGAGACAAATGTGAAGTAGTGTAATAGCATTATTGCTGCTTTCTGTGATTCCCATGATTTGTATTTTCAGTTCATAGCTTTCCTCAAAAATCCACCCAGCCAGCTAGCTGTCGGCAGAGCAGTCAATTATACAGCTAGAGAGTTAGCTCTGAGACTGTTTAATTCAGCGTGTTTTAAATTTTCAAGTGGTGAAATGCACGTAACATAAAATGCATCATCTCGCCCATGTTTTAAGCGTACAGCTCAGCGAAGTAAAGTGTGCTCACCTGGTTGGGCAGCCAAGCTCCAGAACGACTGCATCTTGCAAAACTGAAATTCCGTGCCTGTTGAACGGCCCCGGTTTCGCCCTCCCCCAACCCCTGGAGACCACTGCTTGACTTTCTTTTTCTGTGAGTTTCACGACTCCAGTGCCTCACGTACGTGGAATCATGCAGCGTTTGTCTTCTTGTGACTGGCTTATTTCGCTTAGCGTGATGTCCTCCCGGCTTCTCGTGCTGTGGCACGGGTCAGAGCGCCCTTCCTTCGGGGGCTGAGTAATATTCTGCTGTGTCTTTATGCCACATTTTCCTTATCCTTCCATCCGCTGGTGCACGTTGTGCTCCTTTCGCCTTTTGGCTATTGTGAATGATTCTGGTATGAACGTGGGTGTACAAATGTCTGCGTTCAATCCTTTTGGATTTATATCCAGAAGCGGGACTGCTGGATCACATGGTGGCCCTATTTTTAATTTTCAGAGGAATCTCCATGCTGTTTTCCACGGCAGTTGCCCCATTTCGCACGTCCACGAACAGTGTCCACGGGTTCCAGTCTCCCGACGTCCTTGGGGGTACCTGTTACTTCCTGGGGTTCTTTTTATCGCAGTCATCATGATGGGTGTGAGGTTATGTCTCGTTGTGGTTTTGATTTTCATTCTCCAGTTGTCAGTTATCCTGAGCCTCGTTTCCAGGGCTCCTCGGCCACATCTGTATCTTCTTTGGAGAAACGCGTTTTCAAGCCCTTGCCCATTCTTTGCTCAGGTTGTTTGTCTTTATTGTTCTTGCTGTTGTTGAGCTGTAGGAGTTCTCGGTATTAAAGCCCTTATCAAAAGATACTGTTTTGCAAATATTTTCTCCCATTCTGTAGGCTCCTCTTTCACTCTGTTGATTGTGGCCTTCGATACACAGAAGCTTTTAATTTCGATGTGTTGTTGTTCAGCAGCTTGAGTTGAAAATTCTAAGACATTGTGAAATTAGAACAAACACCTCCCCCGCAGCCTGGTTTCCCGCCTCTGTTTTCTGAGTGAATGCCCCGTGGACGTGTTCAATTGCATAAATCTTGGTATCCTTCTTCCTGCTTCCCTCTCCTTCCAGATGCCTTCTGTTACAAAGACAAGTAGGTTTTAACCCCTGAATATCGCTTACATGAACCAGTTTCTGGTTCAGTTATTCCAAAGCACCGTGTTTTACCTGCCCCAGGGCCTTTACACACGCTGTCCCCTCTCACGCAGTTGAGGATGACTCATTCTGCACATCCCAGCTCAGGAACACCTTCCCGGGGGAAGCTTCCCTGACACTCCTGTCACACTTTCTCACAGATCTTTTCCTTGTGGGAATATTAGTCATTATTAAGGTGACTTGACTGATAGCTTTTTTCCTCTGCCGCACTAGAAGTTAATGAAGGTGGAGACCACACCGTGGCTCTTTGTGATCATGGGTTTGTAATGCTTAGTACTCGTAAGGTGTAAATCAATATTTGTCTAATGAATGAAGAAGTAGATGGATGAATGCTTTGTCCCCTTTCTCCTTGCAAACCTGCCACTTCCTAAACTCACAGATGGATATTTAGTCCTGGGAGAGACCAGCCACCCATACCAGCAGCCACCCTTCCT